GCATGAATGTGACCAACCACAGAGCATTGTTAGCTTGGAAATGAATGGGAGGAGGGAGAATTATGAAATTCTATATTCAAAGTTGTTTATTTGGTAGATGAAGCTTTAGACTGGGAGTTGAAGATGTCTGATGCTGAAATCTTACCTTCAGGTTAAATTTCAGTAGTTTGGATGAAATGTTTCTATGAAGTATTTTTCACTTAGCTGATATTTTGGTGGGAGTTCTGACAAAGTATTTCAGAACCAAGCAAGTAATTGGGGCAGATAGCTCACCAGAAAACCAAAGCTAGTCAATCTGTAGCACTAAGAAAAGTGGTCTGAATTGCTGGATAAATATTGCGTTGTTTTGTTAAGCTGTTCCCGAAGTCCCAGCTTTAGAATGCATTCTCTGTCCTGCTTTTAAGGATTTTCAAGCATTTTCAACAATCAGGATATTTTGTAAGTGGTGGAAGGAAGCAAATACCAGCTACACAGCTGCTCATTTTAACGATTTCACATTAATATTTCCTTTGAAAGTCTGCTAATCTGTAATGATTTCTTGTTCTTTGAGTCTTCCCGTTGTGTGCCAGACATCAGCTCTGTGCAGATTGGTTCAGCTGTCTGACTGGTGGTCATTAGTGACATCAAGTGGGCTGAGTGTGAAATGACACATTCTGTCCTTTACACGCTTGTACCTTCAGCTCACTGTGAGATTTTCTTAGTGCGTGTGATCTGAGCCACACTGCTGTCTGTTTGTGGTGCTGAGAGCTGCAGTCATTGCAGGACAAGCCCACAGGTCTCCTGGCAGTCTCAATGAAACGTTCTGATGTGAGAGGGACACATCGCGTTTTCCACTCAGCCTCTGTAAAAAGATGTGGCTATGCAGTAGGAGCACACTCAAGCTTTTAGGTTTTTATCCCTGTGATTTCAAGGGAGTTGGGAGAGGAAACCATCACAGGCTGGTAGTGGCCTTAGTTCTGCTTGTAACAGTGCGCAGTGAGCAGCTGCTGTGCCTTGTGCCGTCTGGCTGCCAGTTTGGTGTCTTCCAGAGAGAAGCACTGAGCCCGCTTATCTCACAATGGCTTGCTTTTCAGTCAGCTTTCCTGTCTGTTCTTGGCTGTGCAGGGACAGTTGTGGGTGCCAGGCCGACGGGGTTGCAGAAGCAGATAAAGTAAACCAGAGTTTTTGCCCCTGCTGTTCCAATTGGGAACTGTTTTGACAGTTAAACTTGATTGTAATTTCTGCTCCAATCTTTTTTATGGTCAGTTTATAGTCTTAAATTGTTGTGCCAGTATTGTTCTTGAGTAGCCCCCTCCTTCCCCTGCATTTATTCCTTTGATGTATTTGTAGATAGTAATCATATGCCCTCTCGGTCTCCGTCTCTGCCAAGCTATACAAGGCAAAGCATCCCAGCTACGTCTTGTAAAATAAACAGTCAATTCTCTGGATCATCTAACCCGCCCTCTGGGCTAGGTTATGGTTTAGTTATCAAGGGATTGGCTTCAGCAATGAGTCCCTCTGGCAGCCATGATCCTGTGAAGTTTGGATTGACTGAAGCACTGAGAACAAATAGGGCTGGAGAGCAGGGTTATTAAAATCATGAAACTTTTGCCTTACTTCTTCTACTTGTCTTGTTTTGGAGCACTGCTGTCTGCTGAAGATACTGGAAAAGTCTTTATGGATCCACTGCGGATCCTTGGGGTTTTGTGAGTGCTAACAAAAGCACACAGCTTTAGTTGGGATTTGCCAGCAGGGATCAGCTGTGTTGCCACATACAATAGGTGTCTTGCTCAGAAAGTGATAGAGTATTAATGCTTAAATACTTCTTTTGTCCTTCCTCGATTCCGCTTCTAACAACTGAGTCCTAAATCTCTCTTGTAGGATTAGAGCAGTTGAATATGAACTTACAGTGCAGTATGATGCAAAATCAACGTGTATTTGAGTGTTAAAAAATCATTTTTCCCTTTTTATGTCTGTGCAGTGCATTGGTGATACCAGTACAGGAATGCTGTGTCTGGGTCAAGTGTGAGCACTGCTTAAAGGCTCTTAAAGAGCTGGAGAGAATGCCTCACATGTCTACAGCGCATGCAGACTTGGTGCCTCACTATCTTTTATGGAAACTGAAAGGTAAATTCTCTTCAACAGGATAGAGTCGACACAGCTCTAAAAACTTTTATTTCAGCCTTTTCATCCTACTGCTGTCGCTTAGATGGCTTCTTTTTCCTTTTGTCTGCTGTGAAGCATTGAAAAGCGAGCGTAGGGCCTGGTAATGGTTCACCAGAGCCTGCCAGCTGTCCTGCACAAAGAGCGTGTTTTGGAAACCGATCGTCTGTGAACTGTCACGGGCACACAGGCATCTCCAGTTTCCACTGTTGCTTTGATACTGGAAAGGCTCTGACAAATTATCTTGATGTGGTGATGTTCTGGATTAGCTAAATATCAAACAGGGGTGTTGATGGGTGTGATTGGTGGGGATACCTGAGGAACTTGCACATGCCTGGGGAAGCAAATGAGGAAAAGATAGCATTGCCGTGTTCCCTGCGTGGGTTTTGCAGTTGTTTTCCTTGCATAACACGTCTGGAACTGGGGATGTTGGTGTAGTGTCAGAAGTGGTCAGGCACAGGAATGTTCTTTGGAACATAGAACTGCCATGTCTGGGCTTAACTGAGAACATTTTATCAGCTTCCCAGCAGCATTCCTAGTGGAGATGTGAACTGCAGTACTGAATTAGGCTTGGATTTTTAAGAAAAGTGTCCTGAAAACATAATAGCCTTGTGTTTTAAAGAATGAGGGTGCTTAAGTTGAATTACTGTTGTGAAAGAACTTCTGAAATCTCCTGGTAAATAAAACATTTCATCTCATTATAGGTAATTTGGCACCAGTGTGTGATGGCAGGAGCTATTTTTCCTGCTGTAGCTAAGTGTCTTTGTATCCTTTTATTCTGATTGCTGCTAAGTTTAGGCTGAAGTTTCCCAGGCTTCCTCTGTGATGTAGAAATAAATTCCTTGGAAGAATTTCAGCAAAATTTACCAGTCTGTGGGAAGAGTCTCCACATCTCCATTTTTTTTTTGGTATGAGGATGTTGATACCGAGTAGCAGTGTGTAATTCAAAGGAAATAAATACTCTTATTTCAGAGCCACTGAATTATTCATGCAGCTGTGTAAGTAATTCTTCCTCTGCCTTCCTCTGTAGTCTGGATCATGGGGGTTGCCCATTTGTATGGTGCTTTCTTTCAATTTAAAATGGCACTGCAGGTCATTGCTGTTAGTCTTGCATTGTGATCCCAGGCTTAAAGAGACCTTGAAGCACTTTCTGATTGTGGATTGCAGTATTCCTTTGCTTTTGCATTTGATTCAGTAGTGCACACATTCAGATTAAGAAACTAAAGAGTGAATGTTGCAGCTTCCTGGGCTGCTTGGCCATCATCAGGCTAGACAGTTTGTAGGCATCTGGTTCAAGTCCAGCCTCCCACTCAGATAAATAGCTTCATTTCTGTCTTCCTTATCAGTGTGCAGACCATCTCAGTGTGTAGCCCTAGTGCCAAGCCTTGCTGATTCTCCTAACAAAAGAAAATGCTGTTAGTGAGGAGGCAGGTTCAGAGAGAGCTCTGATATCAGCTTGTAGCTGATAACAACTGTATTGTGGAAGTGTGAATGGAAGCAAAGTTAATACTGCACCCAGTACTGTACTGCACCCTACACATCTGATTTCCAGCTGCTGGTCCTGTGTAATTGAGAGACTAATTAGTTCTTTCTCTCCTGTTCTACATTTGTGGCTACAAAAATCGAGATCGATGTGGTGTCTGCAATGGGAGGTGCTCATAAGAGAAAGGAAACAATTCTTCTGTGGTCTGAGATAAGCACAGATGCAGAAGGCTGTGACTTGGATTCTCATGGTTTGTGGCGGGCTGGCTGGCCGTGGTGGCATTGCAGGCAGACTGTTGAAGTTGAGGGTCTTGCTAGGACAGGTTTCCCAGCAGCCATTCTCCAGTATCTCTATCTGTAATTTACCTTTTCCCGTGCAATCTCCTGTCTTTGAGGTAGGAATGTGTCTGCTGTAGCTTCTCTCAGCTTCTTTTGGGAGCAGCCCTAAGAGCAAAACCCTGTAGTCTTGTATTACTGTGCACTCTTTTATGCTGGACCACCCCAGCATGTGGGTGTCATTACAACATCAACCTGGTGAGGTCACTGCTGGGAAACCTCCTTTGGAAATCAGTGCTCAGTCACTCCCAGCTTACATGTCTGAGCCGTATTTAGGTGGCAGAGGACTTATTGGCTGCCCCTCAATTCATAGGTCTGTCGTGTGTGGCAGTGGATGAGCAGAGATTAAAAACAAGAAGGCCCTCAAATACATTTGAAAGAAGGTTTGAAACTTGTTCTGGAGAAGGAAGCTCAGCTATCTGAGCATCATATTTTAATAATTTTGATTTAGATTTGAAGCTAAGATATGAGCCAGCAGTGTGTGCTTGCAGCCTGGAAGGCCAACTGTGTTCTGGGCTGCATTAAAAAAGGGGTGGCCTGCAGGGAGAGAGAGCTGATTGTCCTCCTCTACTCAGCTCTTGTGAGGCCCCATCTGCAGTACTGTGTCCAGGCCTTGGGCTCCCAGCACAGGAAGGACATGGAGCTCCTGGAGCGGGTCCAGAGGAGGGCACTAAGATAATCAGAGGGCTGGAGCACCTCTCCTATGAGGAAAGGTTGAGGGAACTGGGCTTGTTTAGCTTGGAAGAGAAGGCTCTGGGGAGACCTCGTGGCCTTCCAGTACTTGAAGGGAGCGTATAAAAAGGAGGGGGAGCAGTTATTTGTGAGGGTGGGCAGTGATAGGACAATGGGGAATGGTTTTAAACTGAGACAGGGGAGGTTTAAGTTAGATATTAGGAGGAAGTTTTTCACACACAGGGTGGTGAGGCACTGGAACAGGTTGCCCAAGGAGGCTGTGGATGCCCCATCCCTGCAGGCATTCAAGGCCAGGCTGGATGTGGCTCTGGGCAGCCTGGTCTGCTGGTTGGTGACCCTGCACATAGCAGGGGGTTGGAACTAAATGATCATTGTGGTCCATTGCAACCCAGGCCATCCTATGATTCTGTGATTCTAAAATTAATAATGTGAGCATTTTCACAATTATGTACAACCTCCTGTGACCGTTTCTCTTTGTTCTCTCCTTGATTCGTACTTTTTCCTCTAATCAGTGCTGCTAAGGCTATTTCTGTGCTTGTAGGATTAAATTCATTTAATGGAATGCAGAAAGTTTATTATCTCTGTTTGCTTGGTTTTGTTCTCTTCATAGAATTTGTTGTGGCAGTGCTGTTATCTTTTTTTTTTTTTTCCTCTGTCTGCTTTCTCAATGTATTTTTCTCTGTGCTACAAATACCAAATTGAGGAGACGAGGAGCTTTATTCTTGCTGTGCTTTGTTTGGAAACAAGACGTAGCGATTTAAAACCATGAAATAATTCTCTTGGCAGTTTACATCTCATCTCTGCATTTTAGCTTAGCCTCTGGTGCTCTGTATTCCCTTCCTGTGTGGTTGGTGAGATGCTATCCTCTTTGCCCCCAAAATGCCTTTATGGGAATGCTGGAAAAACACCTCATCTTACTGCTTCAGTACAGTAACAAAACCAAGTACAGGAATGTGTTTCCTTTAGGAATTCTGTGTGCCTGATGGGATTGCTGTGCTTCACCTCTGTTCTTAGATCATTTGGCAGATCCATCTTCTGTTGTGAAGTGGTGCCAATGAGGAGAGGTCTCCAAAGGCATTTCGCATTAGTGAAGTGCAGCACACTGATGTGCTCTGCTCAGCCAACACAAAAAACAAACTTTGTTTTAAAATGCTGAGCACATGTGATGTTGCATGCATGAATTGCTTTCCACTATCCAGGGCTTCAGGTTTATTCTTAATTTGTTCTTAAACTGTTGATAGTCATGAAAATAAAGGGAGGGTCTGTTCGCATTGTTTGTAGTAGAAAAGAGCAGCGCAAGATTTCATCTACTGCTGTTCAGATCCCTTGCTATTTCTGGTATTTGACCTCTGCAGAGAAGATTGCCAAATCTGCAGGTCATTTTCTTTTTTTGTTACGTGTTTCTCTTCTCTTACAAGTTCCTCTCATGCACTGACCAAGTCTTTGAGGCAAAGATCTGTTTCTTCCACACTTTCTTTGGTATTTTTTCACAGGTGATTTTACTTCGCTGTACGTTGCAGAGCTAATCTTCCCTTTTGGAATTGAGAACTACGTGATTTGGCAAACGTGCACAATGAGAAGGAGATGGAATAACTTACAAATTGCTGGTTTATGTTTTGAGAAGCTTTCTGCAGTGGAGAGGACTCATGAGCCTGCTGGCTTGAGTTTAGGCTGTGAGGTTTGGAGTAATACACAAAGAGCAGAGCGGTATGTGCTCAGGCAAAATGCAACATTTAGTTTGTGCTCGTAGGTGCTTACCTTTCATTTCTCTGTCAATGGAAAGGCTGCTTTGGGCACCTCTGACTGCTTCTGGTCTTGCTATATGTTTGTTTCCACGCTCCACTAGAGAGAAATACATAACCACAGCATCTGTAAACCTCTTCCTTTTTGGCATTCCTGTCCCTTCATGCCTTCTGTTTTAAAAACCAAGCTTATTTCTTTTTAAAGGAGCTTTGTGGGCATCCTGGAGGTCAAAATATTATAGGTTGTTTCAGTTGACTGTATTTATTTTCAAGTTGACTGTATTTATTATCAAGACGCAGAGAAGTTTACCATAATGGTATGCTGCAATATCAAAGAGATGCTCCAAGGTTACAGAGAACTGTAAATGCAGAGCAGAGATCAAGCAGCTGTAGTTTGGAGGATCACGTGGAGTAGGGCTGATTTGTAACAGGTGGCTTCGCCTTGGTGAGGATGGTGTTGCGAGATGCACTTCCATGCTAAGAGCAGCAGTTGCTGAAGACGAAAGTGAGTGGTGGTAGCTGACATTTGGGCCAGATGCTTCTGTGTAATCCAGGCTGTGGTGTTTCCTATCATGCTAACATCACCTGCGTTTTGTCTGTGTTTATAGAATGAATCAGAGGAGGGTTGGAAGGGACCTCAAGGATCATCAAGCTCCAACCTCCCTGCCACAGGTAGGGCAAACCTCCACATTCAATACTAGACCAGTGTTGAGACTGCATTCCATAGATCCTTGGGCTACTGTGAGTTGGAACAGAGGAAGATCCTGAGTTCTACTAACGACTGCATATCCTAAAGAAAAGAGGTAGCAGCAGCCAAACCCTCTTCTCTTCCCAAGGGATCTCTGTCACTTCTTCAGAGGCAGTTCCAGAGCAAGCTCCCTTCCCCCCACCAGACTGATGTCAGGTACTCGCAGGCAGGTTTCCACACTGATCACTGTGACAGGCTCCTGTGCCATGTCCAAAGCATTCAAAGCAACTTACTTGGCACGGGGGTTCCTGGTAGCCATAACAAAGTGGATGCCTGGGTTGTCAAAGTTGAGCAGTGCAGAGCGGCATGTGCTTTCGAGGTGGCAGCGGTCCAATGCTTAGTGATCTTCTATTGTGTTTGGAAGACCATTGTTTCCTATTTGTCCCATAAATTTAACACAGATCCTATTCCTGCCATTTAAACTTTCCCATCAAAGTACAACAGTGACTTCCCCTCCTGAAAAGGAAGGGCTGGCAGCTACACCCTGACGCTCGAGCACAAATTGTTTATATAACCTTCAATCACAATTTCATAATAGCCTGAAGGCTGTCTTACTGGGGCAGATATTTTACTGAGTTTTTAGCAAAAACCCTGCTGCCATCAAACGTAGTATTGCAGCTCCTTAACTGCTGCTGGGAAATAGAAGCAAAGGCTGTACGCTGCACCTTCCTGATGATATATGTTGCACATCTATCTGGAAAATATGCAGTGTTTTCTGCTAGTGTAAAACAGCTCCACCTGTATCATTTGGGAGTGAAAGCTGAGGCACTATCTTGGGCTCCTTTTACTTCCCAGAGAGTATTATTAAATCTGAATGAAGCGTGTTTTTGCAGTCTCTACCTTTTCACAGCTGGTGATTTTTCAGAAATGAAGTTCAGCAAACCTGGCTAAAATTGGGTCTTAGCCTTGTGCTAAGCGTTCAACAACTGTCTGCTTTTATATTGGTTCTACTGAAGTCTTGTCCCATTTGAGTATGTAAGAAGCAGGCTGTGTGGGTAGGGCTGTACACAGTGCCAGAAAACATGTTGAAATTCTTCTCTTTGGAGGGGAAAGGAGTTTCCACAGGATGTCTGCATTTTATGGCAAAAATTACTTGTAGATGTATTCTGAAAGGTTGCTTTGATGTAGATGATTAACCTGGGACCTCACTGTCAGGATATTACCAGGTTGGATAGCTTAGATTATCTGTGACTTGAGAATTAAGCTTGTATAAGTGTATCTACTTAAGCTGTTTTTTAAGAATTTGCTTGTTTATCACGTGGTGCGTTGGGAAGGCAAGGCAAGGCCTTGAAACTACCAACAACACCATTTTAAAAACAAGCAGAATGCAGTTTTGTCATAGCAACTTTTCCTTTGTTGCTGGCCTCCTGTGGAACATTAAAATAATGAGCCAAAACCAACGAGCACGCAGCACTTTGCTCATTTCATCCCCTTCCCAAAATCCAGCCTGAGGAATTAGGAGAAAAAATCAGTGGGGCAGCTGGGAAAGCATGATGGTATTTTCCTGCATTTTGGGCCTGCCTGATTTTTCTTTGGTTTCTATTTGGATATTTCCAGAAAGAATCCTTCCATGTGTGTGGTTACTGGGATTGGGCACTGGCCTACTTTGTATGGAAATAAGTCGATTTTTGGAGTACTGCTTTACCTTAACTGAAACATCCATAATAGAATCATAGAATCACAAAGTTGGAAAAGACCTACAAGATCATCTAGTCCAACTGTCCTGCCACTACCCTTGCTACCACAAGCCACTAAACCATATCTCATAGCTAAAGTCTCATAAGAGTGAGGAGAGCTGACCTCCATGGGAACTGCTGTGATTCCCCCAAAATTGATTTTATAACACAGAAGAGAAATATAATTGAGCCTGTAATTGAGAGAGAAATTGTCCACGTGGATGATTGTGCTTCCTTTCTATATCCCAACTACATTTTATTTGTTGAAAAGTGATCCAAGTTCATGAACTGACCAAAACCACCTGTTGATTTTGATGGTAAACATCTCCTTCAAATTTAAATATCCATGTGTATCACTGAAATACTGTGGGTTTCTAGAATAATTCAATAATGCCAGAGAAAAATTGCCTCAGAAGGAAGGGCTTTTTTTTCCCAGTTGCAATAAGAACCAGGGCTGTGTATTTTTTAGGAGCCTCAGGAAAGGCTTTGGTTCTTAGGAGAACTGTTGAAAATGCTTAATTCTCCCAGATTGTGGTGCTGTCCTCATGCCTGTTTAAGTAGCCTGTGGTGTGCTGAATGGGTGCTTCCATATGTCTCTGAGCACCAGAACAGCTGCAAAGTGTAACTCATTTGTCCCTTTCAGGCTGTAGTTCTACTTCATTTTTTGTCTTGCCTATGCAGAAGTTGGGCCAAGAAGTCTCCTGCAGCTGTACTGATGCAACTGTTTGTGGGCTGTGACTGCAAGCAGCCTTTTAGAGCAGAAGTTATTCCTCAGGTAGGAACCATGCCTTCATTGCGCGTCCACTTGCAGAGAATGTTGCTTTAATATTTACTTAAAAAAGAAACAAAACCAGCACCAACAAAACAATACAGCAAATGTAGCTAAACGACTTTCACAGCATTCACAAGCAGCCTATTTAATCCTCTGAGGGGATTATGTGATGCAGTGCTTACGGTCAGAGGAGATTGAACTCCTTTGCTGGGGGAAGCTCTGGGTGGTTCTCCGTTTCTGTAAATAAAATGGTAGGCAGGACTTCAGGATGAGTGACCTTTGATTTCATGCATAAGCTCTGTGCAGGAAACCTTTTCATATCGATGTATTTAAAGCTAATGTTATTTCAGACTTTTATCATTAAACCTCATATTTTATTTATTACAGACTCCTGATAGCTTCAAGAACAGCATTTGAGATGTCTGCAATTGAGAAGATTGAGGAGCAGTTTGCCAGCCTGCGCATAGCAAAGCGCTCTGTGCTAAGTGAGGAACCTGCTTACCTGCTGGATATAGACATCTCTGGATCTGCTCAGTCTGAGAGCAGTCGCTTTGTGGCAGTTTCATGTTCCAATAAATCAATTAGGGTCTATAACAGAGAAACACTGAACTTCCTGCGGGAGTACAGTAGCTGTCCTGGGACACTCAACGGTGTCAGATTTGCACATGTGTGTGACAGCTTGGTGTTTTCTGCATGCAGTGATGGTACAGTGAAATGTTGGGATATTCGTTTAGCAACTCAGAAAGCTGCGCAGGTATTTAGTGGCTATCCTTCCAATGTGTTTATCAGTTTTGATATCAATTGCAGTGATCTCATGATTTGTGCTGGAACAGAAAAAGTAGAAACTGATACATTCCTGGTGTTTTGGGATGCGAGAGGCAGCACAGACTGTGCCAGCACAATTAGGCAACCTTTGGGAGTGTACTCTGAAAGTCACAATGATGATGTCACTAAGATTTGTTTTCATCCTGTCAAACCCAGTTTGGTCGTTTCTGGGTCGACTGATGGTTTGGTTAATGTGTTTGACATTAACAAGGACAATGAAGACGATGCTTTGATATCAACCTGTAATTCAGATTCATCAGTAAGTTTTATTGGCTGGTCTGGGAAAGGTTACGAACAGATCTACTGCACGACCCACGATGAGGGATTTTATTGGTGGGACCTTGCTCAGTTAGATACTGAAGAACCAATAATGCTGTTGCGCATTCTGGATGCCAGAGATTCAGTCTGCATTGAAAATGGCAGCTTAAATTATCTGGTAGGAGGCGTGTACCATGAAAAGGCAGACAGGCTCTTTCTGATCGGAGGAACAGCAACAGGAGACGTTCACCTGATAAGCTGCAGCGCTGCTGGGCTGAGCCTGGTGGGTGCCCTTCCAGGGGGACACTCTGCCACCGTTCGCTCTTTCTGCTGGAACCTGGCAGAGGAGTCGCTGTTGACAGGAGGGGAGGATGCCCAGCTGTTGTTGTGGAAGCCTGGAGCTGTGGAACGCTCCCTGGCAAAGAAGATGTCCATGAAGATTGCTTCTTCTGTGCAGAAGAGAGTGAGAGTTCACAACAGTTCCCTCAAAAGCAGGAAAAAATAAAATTCTGGGAATGGGAGCCTGCTCCGTAGAGGTCTTTCTGTTTGTTTTATCCTTCCAGGCAGTACTTGGCTGCTGCTTTATTTGGAGGTGTTCTGTGGAAAGAACTGCAATACATGAATTCTGTTTGGGAACTTGCATCAGTCATCAGAGGAGTGCTTTTTTTTTTTTAAGTTGCTAATATTAATCTGAAAAGAGTAAATGTTTGCTCACTGGTTCATGAAAAATACATCTTCAATCTGTTTTTATAAAAATACTTTTTATGGTGGTTTGGTGTCTCAGCCAACATTTTAATGCATAATATAGGCCTGTGACTTGCATAATTTGTTACTTTCCCAGTGAAATTCCCTGTCATGTTTTAAAAGCTTTTGTATTTCAAGCTGTGTTTTTCTTTCTTTACAGAGAACTTAATGAAATTGCTCAATATATTAAAAAATTTTACATCGCTTCTTAATGCTTGAGGGAATTACTTCTTAATGAAACAGAAAATAAGTACTCTTTTTGCATTGTCATATTGCTGGTTTATAACAAGCTTGTAAAGCAGCATTTGATAGAGTCATATTTTTTTATAGTGAAGATATGAATGTATTCAACCAGATGGGAATGCACTACTCTGCACAGCTGATTTTTTGACTGGATGAGAAGTGTTGGAACTGGTGTTACTTAGGGTGTGTTTGCTTTGTGAAAATACCCGAGAATCTTCCAGGCAGCTTCATTCTTTGATGGTAGAAGCATCTCAGGGGGTGCACCTGGAAGATGGGAGATGGTCAGGGAGTTAAAGAAATTAATAGATGCAATGACAGCAGTTGTGCTTGGAGTTCCCAGACCTGCGTTTGAAATAAGCTGCTATCACACGCTGAGGGGGGGATGTTAAAAAAACAAAACCAGTCTTCTGAGAATGTGTTTACTGAATAACAGGCCGATGTGAGAAGGCTTTAAGAAAACCTCTTAGAAGTTCGTGTGTGTCTTTTAAGAAATGGTCTTTGCAGAGACGTGCTTATGTGCAGACATCTCTCAATGATTGCATTGTTTTAGTGTTCCATCAAACAGCTATTAAGTGCTGCAAAAATTGCCTTGTTCTGAAACACTTGAATTTTTATGCTTATTCTGCTCCGCTGGCAGACTCCAATCTGTGCATCTGGCTCTGCACACACAATTACCTCCAGCCTTCGGAGTACCATTGCAGTCAAATGTTGGTTGGTAATTACACTGTACTTAACATATGTGAACTACAACTGGAAGCAGCAAAAGAGTATTTAAGGATTGTGATGTTATTGAACAGCTGGCTAAAGAATTCAGAGGTTTTCTATGTGAGCACAGATTGGTAATTCTTTCAAAACAAGTTAGGAATGTCAGCTTTAGAGGTTCAGCTCGGAGTTTAAAAACTGTTTCTGAAATGCAGAGGGTTCCTCAAGTTGTGGTTATGGCTGTGCCAAAGGTGCCTTCATCATCTCTGGAAGTGAATCCCATTCAAACAAGTACCAAGGATCCACGTGGTGTGTTTTACAAACTGGTGTCTTTCAGCCACAGCTGTGCATCCACAGTAGTGCTGGGTCTGCCTGTTGATAACTTCACTGTGATTCACTTGCTTCTGTTCCTGCTGGTTATTTACTGCTGCAGCTTCCATTTAAAAGTCACTTTAAACTTCTTTTAAAAGTGGTGTTAAATTCAAATTGCACCCAAAATCCTTATAAATGGAAGGTCACAAAAGTCATCCGTTGCTTTTTAAATGACTTCATGCAATTTTGAGACAGCTTAGGCAGTCTGTGGCTGGGACACATCTACACCTCGTGCCCTTTCAGCTCTTTTGTCCTCCCAGGTCACAAGTCATCACTTGGGACTGTGGAACTGAGTTCTGTGACTGAGTGGACCAAAAGGTTTGGAGCCCTCTGGCCAGTCAGGCCATTGGGCTGAGTTGCTTTACCCTTCTCCTCATATCTCAACATGCTCAGTGGAATAAGCTCGTTGGCTAACACTTCATTTCTTGAATAAATGGTGGGTGTGCTTTATGGAAATGCACAGTGAGGGAGCTTTTGGTTGCCTCCTCTTTCTTTAAAGTGTCTTTTGGGGAAGACCCTATGTGTGTTTTGCCAACCATCTCTCCACTAAAGCAGCAGAGATAGGAGTTCTGGTAGCAGTGTTTGAACTATGCAGCCTGTATCTGTTTTTCTGTATTAAACTGATCCATAACAAAGTACCACCCATCCCAGCTCCAGCCATGCCTTCCCCAACCTTGGTTTTTACACACAATGTTTTCCCATTCCCACAGCTGTTTGCATTTTCCTCAGCTGTCAGGAGACTCATGCTTGTGTTGCCCCTGAAAATGCTGCATGCTTTTTAGTTTCGTGTTGACTTAATTTCAGATTAATGTTCATAAAATAAACATGGTGGAAACCACATGTTAACAACTAATTAATGCTGTGTGCTTCTGTAAACTGAAATTTTCATAGACCACAGAGAACGGACATAACATGGAACTAAAGAAATAACAGACCTGAGTGAGGTTGACTTGGCTGACTGTATTCCATTTGTTAGCTTAGTTTGGAAGTCTCTGAGTTGCCCTCGGTGTTGTTAAGAAGCATATTTGACCTGTATGGCACTCATATAATTGCAACTGCAAGTTGCAGGCAGTCAGAAATCTTCATTGTGTTAACTGCTTCACCCCAAGGGAAGCTCTAATTGTGGAAGCAATATCAGATTTTTTTCCAGTAAATGAAAATTAAAAATCCAGATAGATTACCTAAGTGCAGAAAAGTGTGCATCTTTATTCAGAGATGAGAATAAACCTAGAATGTCATATTTGAAGCAACAGGAGAATATTATTTAGTGAACACATGAAAGAAAACAGATTTACTCATAGTCAGCACTTTTCTAATCGTCCCCTTTGTTTCTTTTCTCTGCAGGTTAAATCCAGCACATGCATACTGCCCTCTATGGCTGGGGCTGCTCCCTCTGCCTATCTTCAGAGATGGATCCCATATCAAGGGGGGCATTTCACAGAATCACAGAATGGCCAGGGTTGGAAGGGACCTCAAGGATCATGAATCTCCAACCTATTTCAGCTGGGGGTAGGATTTCCCCCTGCTTTGGGGGAGCAGCAGGAATTATTTGACCAATCTAAATAAAGCTAATACGTGGTGAGGGCAGGTGAGCAGAGGAAGTAGTGCTTTGATATGTTTCTGGAACGGGGTGAATCCTGTCCCTTTCCTCTCTGAGCATTCCTGCCCTGGTGTAGGCTGATGGGCTGCTACTAACTGATGAATGGGTGAAGACAGGCAGGCAGACCCCCCCCACCCTTTGGTCAGGGCTGTCTGTGAGGCTCTTTGGCTCCCTTTGGTGCAAGTATAACAGCTTGCTTTTGCTTTTGAGCTTGATGGAAGCAGGATAGGGCCTTCACTAAATTATGCAAAATATAAACACCCTTCAAGCATAAAGGCCAGTTCCTGTTTGTCTGTGGGATGAACAATTCAGCAGTGAAGCGTGCAGGAGAGGCAGAAGCTGTCTGCTCACAGGGGTTGGGTTTTCTTCCCTAACTTGTGGCAGTGAGGAGAGCCACGGGTCGAGCCAGTACTGCAGCCTGTGCCATGCAGGCACCACTGGGTTTCCTGGGATGTGGAAAAAGGAGAAAGTGAGTGTGGTGATGCCAATCTTTTTATGGGAATGCATTAAGTTTTCAGTTCAATATCAACCTTACCCTCTCATGTTTGGGATAAAGATTTGATGCTGCTAAAAATTCTATAAAGGTGATGTTGGAACAGCCTTCTGCCATATGAAGTCAGAACTGGTAATAAGAAATGCGAGGAGGAATTTGAGACAGTTCTGTGTGCTAATTTAAATCATTTGAGGAGGTTAAATATTTAATAAATGTTACAACAAACAAAACCCAACCACAGTTTCAGTAGATCACCAAAGGATTGTTACGTTCTAAGTAGTACAGCTGGCATGATTAATACTGAGAAGTACACTAGACTAAAGCTGAAGCACAAATGCAGAACCACAGTTCACTTTTCTTGATGTTTTTAATACAGGAATTGTTAATTATCAGTGGAGTTGACCTCCTAGGAGTGCAGTGCGTGTCACTGTTTGCTGCTTCAGATTCAGATTCAAACCCACTGAACACACATGTAACAGGTAAGAAGTGACTGTACCTTAACCAGCGTTCTCTAACAGCAATTTGTGGGATGGAGTTGAGGAAGGAAGCCTCAGGGCTTTGCTGTAACAACGAACTTGGTGTTGACTTAGGACTGATAATGAAGGATCAGGAGAAATAGTGGGAAGTTCTTTGCAGTGTTTATTCCCAGAAGTTTGTGTAGCTGTAGGTTTGCAGTAAGAAGACGTAGAGCTGCATTTGCAATGCTAAACTTGTTCTAAGAAACTGTCAGAGGAATCCATCTGGATACAAAACAATTAACACAGCACTCACAGGGATCTCAGGTCGTTCTGTGTATGTGTTTGTCATTAGAGCAACAGGATAATTATGTGATTGTTGGAATTAATTCTTATAGTTAGCTCGAACTTGCTGCCCTAACCTTTGCAAAGAGTAGAAAGAGTTGAGGCGATAAAGGAACGCAGTAGGAGCACACAGGCATCCCACCCTCGTGCCAAGGAATGAATGGTGATGTTTTGTTAAAACATCTAGGCTAAAATAAGCCCAAATCTGTACTTATTTTTATTAGTGTTATTATTTTAACATTTGTGTTGTGGTCTATTGCCAGGATGGCCAGACAGTGAGTGGAGGAGCTCTGGGTTGTTATGAGCCAGCTCAGTGGCACACGCAATGAGTGTCTCTGTTCCTTTCTGCATTCGCTGCCATGCAGGACGTTTGTGTTTGTTTTCACCTCACTGTTGTTCCCTGTGTTCTAAAGCCAAACCTTTATTGTGCTTCAGTTACGAATTTGTGCCCATTTATTTTCTAAACTGTTGGAATGTCCCATGACTGCATTCAGATGAGATACAGTGTAAGTACTTGTGGTTTCTTGCAGGTGTGTGCAATATACCAAGCTCACTTGCTGATCACTGGATTTATTTACATGGCAGTCAGCATGTGGAGGGTTAACTACTGCTGCAATAAGAAGGCAGTTTTGACTGTTCTGTCAATACTCTTCAAATATACAGGGGGAAAAAAAAAGCCCAAGCTCCCAAGATTTGATTATAGCTCACAATTTCTGTTGGTCTGGGTGTTTTTTATTAACAGTTTGCTTGATGAAACGGTTCAGAAAAGCTCTGTAGTATTTTGTAAAGGAAAAATCAAATGTTTTTCAGATGGCTCTATAAAGAATTTTGATAGATTCAGACATAAGTGAAGGTCTTTCACGAGCTCCAGGAGTGTTTTTGCACCTAATGCTCTGGTGAGCTAACAGAGGAAATGAACTTTCCTTTTGTTTGCAAAATATAACCCTCCTCCCCCGAGTTCTTAACGCCTTTTCCATGCTGCTTGGACAGCTGAGCCACCACACAGGTGTTTCTTGTCCTCTGTGTGTTCCTGAGACCTCCATAAAACGTCAGAGAAGAAAGATGACAGTGTTACCTAACGTGGGTACAAACCAGAAAGTTCAGTTGGTCAATCCAAAGTATAGGGGAATAAAGTACATTCGTGTAGGTGACCTATAGCAGAAAACAGGGAGAATCATTATTGATGTTTGGCTTCCAACTCATGGCTGCTCAGCACCAAAGGAAACTACATTTTTAATCACCAGGCTGCTGCAGGGACACTACTGAGTGCTCTAAAAGCAGGGGTGTGCTTTTTTTTGCTGACATTTTGGGCCATGCAGAGCATTGTGTCTGTGTGCCTAAGAAACGTGCTGAGGGTCCACGTGTGTGTGCACACATGGGAAGGATGCTGTGAGCACTCGGGGTAATGGAACAGGTGTGGGAGCTTGGGATTTGCTTATGGAGGTGATCAATCAGCTATCAGAAATGTTTTAATGTGGTTGATATTAAAGCAACTATGAAAGTGGAATTTTCTAAATATACACTTGGAATAATAAACCATTGGTAATCTTCTGGAAGGAAATGGTGTTCTGACATTCATAGCTTATTTTTTCCCAGATTTTAGACAGGATTTGAGGTTTTTTCCATTATCTCCAGTATGACTAAAAATAAACCCCCTCACTTTTAAAGGTATGTTACATAGCTGTTCTCAAGGAGCGAAATTAAAACTTCAGGCCCTCAGAACCCAAGTGCAGGTTAGGTGTGTGAAAAATGCAGCATTTACTATATATGATATGCATTCTCTTTTTGTCAAGATGGTTTCATTATTGTGCATTTCATGAGCAGGATGTTCTTGAGAACCATTATGAATAGAATACCAGTTTATAACGAGTGATATAAAGTGGCATTTATCTTTACTTTCCCCCAAGAAAATCTTCCCTGTGTCTGTGAGTGCCACTGACTGACTTCTGAGCCGTGTTGCTACGTGCTCACCTTGCACTGTGGCTGCAGGTGCAGCCAATGCACCAGAGGGAGTAAAACACACGTGAACAGAAATGGATGAGTGAAGAGATAATGTCAGCCAGGCAGGCTGCAGACTGAGAAATCCCCAACCTTTCCCTGCCCAGTGAAACACTGCAGTGTTCATCCCACGTTCTCTCCCACTGCTCCAGCTGAAGCTGTGTCTCAGCTCATCACTGAGTGTTCTGGCACAGATCAGTACCTCCATTTGGGAATTATGAGGTGGTACCTGTGTGGTCTGACCTCAGTGTGGCTGGGCAGTGCCTGTGTGACTGCTGCACGCTGTCAGCAGGCTGCAGTCAATCTGACTTGGAAGCAGTGGGTTGGATTGAATGCAAGAGGGAGAAACCTCTTCAGAGACAAAGGCTCCAGGCTGTGACCCAAGCAGCCCCAAGGAAAAGTTACATGAAGGCTCTTTGCTGGGGGTGAAGCTAAAGCAATCCTGATGAGTTTTTATTTGTGGTCTGTTGCTGAAGAGCCAAAGGGTGGAACGCAAACAGCAAGTCCCTGTTCATCTTCACTGGATGGGAGCTGGACTAGATGATCTTTAATGTCCCTTCCCACTCAAACCCTTCTGTGGAGCCTGAGCAATGGAATGGATGCGAAAGAGGTGGCTGAAGTGAGAGCTGGTGGGGCATGTGAAGGCTGTTGCCTTCTGACCACTGCTGAAAACTCGATTTGCTTGCTGTGTTCCTGAGTGTGTTTTATAAACAGCAGTGGCTCTTACTGCTGTGCACAGTTGGGATGACAGCATGAGATGCGTGAAGGCTGCACTGTAATTTGTAAGGAACAGAGATGACAGAACAAGTGTTTAATTTCACTGAAGTCTGACAAACCCATGGTGCTTTCCTGCCAGGTCTGTTTGGTTACTGGCAGATTACTGTTGTTGTATTTAATGCACTAAAGCCACCAATAGTGCCCTTAAAATCTTCCTTAGAAACCAGGGCAGGTCTTAAGTAGCTGCAGTCATTCACAGCCTTTATTATGGGAAGGTTGAAGATGTTTCTCAGTACACACTTAGGCTTTCCCCAAGTCATGGAAAACCCCTGCAGAACATAAAACACATCCTAAACTATTCTGAAAAATTGTAACTTGGCTAAAGTCACTTATTGCCTCTGTCTCCCTTTTATTGTTAAATAATGTAAAGGAGAAATGCTGTGTTCACTCAGCTGCAGACCTCAACTCTTCAGCTGCACTCAGGTGGAGCACGGGCAGCTGTTGCCCTTTCAGAAAACTATGAATCCTCTGGTGTAACCAATGCTGCCTCTGAAGGCTTTGCAATACAGAGCAGGAAAAGCTGTCAGTGCAACTCCAAGGGTGTGGGGCACCATCAGCTGTACCAGTGCTGCACGGCGCGGCTGCACTGCTGGGAGAATCACTGCAAAGGAAATGCAGTGCTGTTAACTGCTTCCCTCGCACTGTGAACCTGCTTTTAAGTGTGCTTTGTGAAGGGGACACTTACGAAGTAGCTATGTAAAAGAAAACTACCTACTACACTTTTCATTTAGGACTGACAATTTGTGAATTTCTTCCTGTCTCCGGTTAACTTAGCCTGATAGGCATCTAAATTTAGCACTGTTTAAATGTTTGGAGTACAAATTTGTATTTTGATGTTTTCCCCAATGTTTGTTTTTATCATTGTTTCATTTCTATTCAAGTTCTCTTGCATTTGTTGCTTTCCCCATACGGAAACATACAATAAGTGCCAATACCATTACTTACCAATGCAAGTTGTAAATCCTGAGCTGGCCTGAATCCTATGTATTTCAAATTCTAGGAAGCTCATGGTCTCTCTGAAGTGCATGTGAGTGAGGGCCCTCTAAAGATGGGGTGTTTTGTGCTGTTCTGAGGGGCATGTGCTGCTTTGGGACCTGCGCTCCAAATCTGATAGTGGAAGGTATGAGCCCCAGCACCACAAACTCATCCCCTGTCAGCCCCTGTACTGCATCTCGTGTGCTGGAGAAAACCACAGAACGAAGACAGAAGGATGTAAAGAGGAATATCCCACCTTCCGCAGCTTGTGAGTGCTGCAAGACTTTGTTCTTCAGCTAATGACTTTATACAGAGATAAAATTTGGTAGTAAAAGGCTTTCATTACAGTAGTCAGAGTCTGACAGGATGAATGCCTGTAAGCTGAAATGGGACACCATTCAAAACATCAGTCAAATGGGAAATGAGGTACTTTATAAAGGGGGATAGGGGCACAATTAACCATTCCAGCTACTTGCCTAACACCTGTGGGACACCATGGCACTGGACTAAGACTGGACTTCATTTTTTCTTGAGAAATGAGTTGTATCTCTTACAGACTAAATGATCACAACAGTTTTCTGGCCTTTTTCCTCTACCATTTGGGCTGCACCCCATCCCAAATAAAATATTACCTAAAATAAATCCAAGTGTTAATTGTCTAGCAACACTATTACTCAGTTTGGTATGCATGTAGACTCAGTATCGTGCATTAATCTACTCCAAATCTGACTTCAGCCCACAAAACTTTCTCTAGCTGCCGCTTTCAGAGGGGACTAGTGGGATATGAAAGGATGTTAAAGGAATTTTCTCAAAGTGACAAAGGACTTTTTGTAGAATTGGGAACGGAAATGCTTCGTGCTGTTTTGGTCTGTGCTGTACAGTCATGGGATCGCTCCTCTTTGCTGCCGGCCAACTGAATGTGGGCAAAATCACTGCTGTTCTCCTGTGTTCCTGGTGTTTCTGAATTTGGCTGCTCCTGATGACGTGATGAAATGTCAATTAGTATGTCTGTCTCCATTCCAGAAGCAAAAAGGTAAAATGCTTCTGACTGGAAGGCAATTTCAGAACCAAGAACTGCTGCTTTTATTTCCTCAGTTTCCAGGTAGGACCTGCTATGGATGTTAAATGGGCTGTTGACGTATTGTAATCTAGCCTGAATTACCAAAACCTAATCTAGAAAGCCATCTGAAGATAACTTCAGCTAAGATGAAGTGTAGCTGGTTTGGGATACTGGCAGAAAGAAGTTGCTCTGACATCAACCGCGAATGACTAAACTGTGATTAATAGATGACAGCTTTCACAAAAGCCACTGAACACGTTACTGAGCTTGATTACTATTTATGTACTAATATTCTTGAAGGGCTCTGGGGCATTTATTTTATTTTGTTCTATCTTTTGTTTGCCAAAATAAGTAAAATATCTGCTACAGTGAGCATTCTTGAGCTTCTAGGCTGTGGATAAATGTGGGTCCAGCTGGTCCAACCCGTGCTTCAGCAGAGACCCAGAGCAGGCAGGCCAGGCCCACATCTGGGTGGCTTTAGATCTCCAAGGAGGAGACTCCAGAACCTCTCTGGGCAGCCTGTGTCAGTGCTCCAACACCTGCACAGAGAAAACTTTCTCCTTGTGTTGTGATGGAAACTCTGCTTTCAGAGCTGAGATTCTGAAGCAGGCAAATGGAAAGTTCTAGCACCTACCAAATGGTACACTTAATAGCATTTGGCATGTTCGATGGTTCCTGTGAGTGTGTGGAGGCTTCAGGAAGATAAGCTCATAATGAGTGTGGAAGGACTGCAAACCATCTCTGGTCCATCAAAGTCCTATCTGTCTGTAAGACAATAAATTTGAATATATGCTGATAGACTCAGGATGGCGGACTGCTGAGAGCTGCTCATTTACTGCAGCATCACTGATAAATCCTCTGCTTTCTTAAAATTATTTCACTGAAAACAATCATGAGAACTGATTTTTTAATTCTTTGGATAGAAGTACTAACTTTCATGGCCCCTTTCTACTCCCTTTTCTTTCTCCCTATTGAAAAACATAGTCACTCATTAATTCAGTTAATAAGTCTATTAAAGGCACCATGCCCTCTGTATTACCAGAAATTATCAGCTTTCCTTAATTTGAAATACAAACTTTGAACTTCAAACACTTAAAAGGTGAAACCAGCTCCTTTAAAATGCAACTGCTAGCCTGAGCTTTCCCAAGTTTGGCTCTGAAATGAAACGTGAGCTGTGAGGAGCACCGGATTGTTTCAGAACTGTGTGGATGTGGTCCATGTTCCAGGTGCAGTTCTGTGAGTGAAAAGTCACACCGGATGAGGGTCTTTATCTTAATTCTTGAGTATTTTTTGTAATAAAAGTTCAGACGAGCTCCTCTGAACAAAGGAGGGAGCCAAAGGAGCAAGCAACTTTTGCAGCTACTTCCCTGTTCACTTGGTTGCCTTGATGAATAGAGTGTCAAGAAAGTGTTATGAGTTGTAGATGGACATTGGAAGAGTTTGGCAAGTACCAAATGAGCACCCTGTGTAAAAAGAGTGGAGCAATTAGCAAAGCAGTTCCTGAGGATATGCCAAGCAAAGAAGATGCCATAACCATTAGTAAAGAATCCCCACATGTGCAACAGTGTTGCCCCTAAGCAAGAAACCTCTTGGTTTCACCTTCCAAAGCACCTTGACACACAGAAATGAAGGAAAACTTGTAAAGGAAGGCATACAGGTAAGTTTTTTCCTCCTCAGAAACTTGATGAATGGTGCATAAATATGAGTAAGGTTTTTAAATTGCATTTATAACCAGGATGACAGCAGCAGGAACTGAGATATATTTAAATACATGCTTATGTATTTCATACTATAATTAAAAGGTGTTGAAGAACAACAAGGTTATGGGAGAAAATGATACAGAGAAAGAAAGGAAATAAGCAATTCATGGGAACAAAAGAACTATAGGATGAGAGAAACTTGCCTGCTAAATTATGTATCATGCTCTGCAGACATTGAGTGGTTTGTTTTTTCAGCCTGAAACGTGTGTTTGAGTATGGCATTTTTCCCATTTCCTCCTAAGTACCAAGGATATAGTACTGGTTAAGCTAAAAAAAAAAAAAAAAACAAAACAGAGAAATGGGTGATAGTTCCAGAGGGGAGGTATCATTCACTTACTGGGAAGGACTGAGAATTCTGCTTGCAGTTCTTCAACTATTGGCCCTAGTTTCTCTCTGTTTATATTTTGAATTAGCAAGTCACATACTGAACTATGCCAAGTGACAGAAGGGGAAATTTCTGTGTGTGGAGCGCAGTCATGCTCCCACAGGGAATTGGCTTCCTTGGCATATCAGTGTTTTCAGGCATTGGTGACCCTGAGTGAGAAACAGAAAGAAGAATGATGAGCCAGATTTTGAGACAGGCACGCACAATTAAACACATTTAAATCTGCCTTATTTACACTCGTAAGGAGCTGTTTGTGTGTCTCTCCTGACAACTCTGAGCCTACTGTAACCTTCTTTAATAGCCACATGGGTTGCTATCCTCTTGGGCTTGATTAGCTTGACCTTGCTTTCATCCTTTGTAGCAGCAGCATAGCCTGACCGGCTGGAACAGATTTCAGCGTAGTGTAAAGCATGCACAGTACTTAGAAATTAACTGGGGAGAGAAAAGAGCTAGATGCAGGCGATATATAGATTGTAGGATCTGTGTATGAATAAGGAGTAAAAGGCTGAGAGGTTGTGTGTGTTTATTATGGGGTTTCTCACAGCATGTGTTTGAAGCTCTGGTTATGATGAGCGTATTCATATGAAGTTTCTCTCCCACTTAAAATTTGTAAGGCTGGACTGAATGGCCTTTTCCTCCTCAATGTAACAAATATCTGTAGAAATCGTATCTATTGACTTGGGTCACAACTGAATACAAGTTTCTATGTAACAGATTTTGATGCCTCATGTAACCACTGATAACATTTATGATATATTTATCCAAGCACGCTTGTGCATAAAAAATAATTTTTTGAAAAGGCAGAAAAGTTGATAAACTTTTATAGTCCTTATGATTGTACTGTTGTCCAGATGCCCAGGTGGCAAGGGAAATCTACAAACATAAGGATGTGTCTTAGTATTGCAGACAAGATGGTTCAGGGATGCCTTCACTGAATTGGAAAAACTCAACGAAGTTGGAGTGTGACTGTGTTTTATTAAAAAAAAAAGTGAAGGTTGAGGGAAAAAAGTAGATAAAACTTTGTGGTTCTTAGTTTATTAAAAAGCACCTGCATAAGGATCAGTACAAGCAGTCCTAAAATATTTCTTTTAGATTTTTAATCTAAAAGAACTGTAATCATAGAATCAAAGAATGGCCTGGGTTGAAAAGGACCACAGTGATCATCCAGTTCCAACCCCCTGCTATGTGCAGGTCGCCAACCAGCAGACCAGGCTGCCCAGAGCCACATCCAGCCTGGCCTTGAATGCCTCCAGGGATGGGGCATCCACAGCCTCCTTGGGCAACCTGTTCCAGTGCCTCACCACCCTCTGTGTGAAAAACTTCCTCCTAATATCCAACCTAAACCTCCCCTGTCTTAGTTTAAAACCATTCCCTATTGTCCTATCACTGCCCACCCTCGTAAACAGCCATTCCCCCTCCTGTTTATATGCTCCCTCCAAGTACTGGAATATTGTAAGTTAACAAAATATATGAAATTCCTGGCAGAGTTCAATGAATGCAAGTAGTTCATCTGATCTCAGTACACATTTTTCTGTGGCCAGGATGTGTGTCTAGGTAAAGCAAATGGAATCTCTGCTATATGTACTGGAAAACGTTGATAGGTTGCTTTTTTTCTGTAATATTGATTTTTCTGAGCAGAATTTTTTATAAAACAAATAAAAAGCCAACACATCCTCTCAAGAAACTCTTTGTCTGTGTACACCAGTCAATGACACTTAGTCCCATTGATGGGAAAATGGATATAACCAGCTAGGGAACCTCTCTTCAAGGAAACATTGCAACTGGCTGAATAGTGTCTCAGCTTAAACCAGTTAGATATTGTGATCAATAGAAAAACAGCTCCAAGAGGATGTTACCATTACTGGGAGTTATAGCAGAAGTGCCATCGCCATGACCAGAACTCTGGTGAGAAACCTTTCAAATCTCTGATTTCACAGTTCTCTGGGGTCACTCAGAAGTGATCAGACAGTGAGTTGAAGGACAAGCTGGCTAAGCATGAAGTGATACAATGCAAATGATATGGTACACACACAAAAAAAACCAACAACAACAAAAAACCAACCAAAAACATTTTAAACACAATGGAAATAGGCTTAACGAGGGTTAGTCTGTTCAAAAAAAAAAAACAAACCACATGAATGGTAAAGGAAATTGGAAGTGTAAATAACTGATTTAGGAAATAAAAAAGACTTGATGGGTTTTGGGTTGTGGCCAGTCTCCTGTTCTGTGTTTCTCTGTTGGTATGATGAAAAAATATCCTGCAAATACCATGAATCACACAGGGTCTTGGTGATGTAAGTCTACAAGGGTAGCCAGTACATTAGCTTGCACTCAACTATTTTGGTAGATAGTATATTTGGAGAAGTATAACGACTTTCTTAATTCTCCAGAGTTAAGGCTGCCATAAACATACCAAAACAAATGGCACACTTTTAGGGCCTCTGGACACTACATAACAGCTGTGTAGCTCACTGAAAATCTTCCATGCAAAAAAATAATTAGTTTGTAAGATCCAGAAGAAAGCAAGATGGTCTTCCTGAAGCTTTTTATTTTTTTTCATTAGATACTTAATTCAGTCACCGGATAGTGGGAACAAGTAGCTGATTGCAAGTCTGCCATTCAGAGGAGAAAAATTTTCAGCAGTCAAAGATGAAGAACATTCCTAAACTGCCCTGAGACTGCTGTAAAACTTACATAGCAACTGCTTGCCTTGACCTGCAGCCAAAGTAGCTCCAGAGATGATTTTCTGAGGAAAAAAATGAGACAGGAATGAGCTTCTGAACACATCCCCTTCATACATGCAGGGTCAAGTCTCAAGCTGGCATTGCTGCTAATTCACCCAGGCACTGAAGCACCCTTGATTCCTGCATGGGGGTAAGAACAGACAACATCAGTGTAGCACTGCTGCTGCAAAACCAGGTTAAGCCATACGCCTGTGGCATATGTCTGCTGAGTGTTAGGTAAGGGAGTGAAAATGTACAATATTTCCCACACATTCTGACAGTATCCCGAGCAGGCACTGGCTCTGAGCATTACGGTGAAATCCAGTCATTCTAAGAATATCCTATATCTCCAAAAACCACTTTTCTCTGGGAAAAAAAAACCAACAAAACATTAAAGGTTCTGACAGATGTACAGCACAAAGGACCTTTAGGTTTGATGATCAAGGACATACGTGTGGAAGCCATTACTAGTCATCCTGCAGCTTTGGATGGTTCAGAAATACCAAGTATGTTCCCCTGTACATCCATTCTGAAAAGCAAGCAGATCTGAGCTGCAAAGAGTCAGCATGCGGGACTGATGCGGGCTCCACTGATCTGTGCCTACATCCGTGTTCCAAACTGCAAGAATTATACTGGGTTTGGATTCCAGAAATAAGACTCTTGCAAGGGAAACGTGAGCCATTCTATTCAGCACAGTTTGTAAAAGTAGCAGCCATCTGTTGGGCTTTAGAGAAGGCTGAGAAACACAGGATGTTTACTTTTATTGAGATGTGCAGTGGATGTGCCTCAGATGAGCAGACATGTCACAATACTAATAAGACAACTGGGACATGAAGCTCCAGAGAAAAATGTGTTAAATGTAGCATTTGTGTAAATTGGACTTGAACAAGACTGAAAGCCTTAAAAATATACCTGCATGCACCTAAATACATAATCACCTAAGTAAACAGTTGCAGAAAACAGGTCGGACAAAAATTTGAAACAAATGCAGTGCTGACTTGGAGACAAAATTGACTGTTTTCCTGGGTGCTTTATGGAAATCATTCCAAAAGAAAGGATTAAGGAAATGTAAGATAAGGAAGGGTCCAGTTTCTACATGGTAAAATTTTGAGGTTCATTTAGTTGAACACCCTGAAATGGAACCCGGTGTTGCTAACAGCATTGAAATGTTGGCACATGCAGTGTGAGCCCAGGACCTCGTAGATGAGACGGAGGTATTCCGTACCACTGACACAACACCGTGTAGGACATCTGAGAGGGGACCAGACCAAGGCCTTGAGCTACAGGAAAATGTGATTCACAGTATGAATAACTTCATGCTACTATAAATTTTAACCACCAAAGGGGAAAAATTCCCATGAGAATTCAGAGATGCAAGCAGAGTTCTGTAAATGGAGGAAGTTTTTCACCCAGTGGGTGGTGAGGCACTGGAACAGGTTGCCCAAGGAGGCTGTGGATGCCCCATCCCTGGAGGCATTCAAGGCCAGGCTGGATGTGGCTCTGGGGAGCCTGGTCTGCTGGTTGGCGACCCTGCACATAGCAGGGGGTTGGAAATGGATGATCATTGTGGTCCGTTGCCCTTTTCAACCAAGGACATTCTATGATTATGATTAAATGCTAACAGCAAGAAGGCAACAAAGCAAGAAGGTAACCAAAGATGCAGATGGAGATGCTGGCAAACAGCATTAGCAACAGCTACTGTTGGTTTTGGCAACAAAGAAAAAAGTGAAGTATTGCAAATCAAATAAAAGTAAACATGTATCAGCAATACATGTTTTATATACAAGATGGAGTAAAGTTTTATTTTCCGTATTTTCCAGGATCTGGCTTATGTAGACAGTGTTTGAGGTCTTGAATGAAGTTGCAGTGAGTTTTCACAAAAGGAACCTAAGATGATAATATGAATTTGATCTAGGTATGAATCAGTATAAAGAAAAAAACCACACTGTGGAACTGCAGTCAGACAGACAGCGCTGTCCTTGCTGTGTCTAACAGTTGTGCTATGAGATAAGGATAAATTTTCAAGAACGAGGCTTAAAGAGGTATCAGAGCTAAACAAAGTGAGACACTGGAATTATTCTAGAAAAAAATTTGCAGGGAAGAGTGTACTGAAGGGCTCTTTGTACTGAAGAGCTATCTGTGTACTAAAAGCTCGCAGCATTAGAATTTCATTGTCTCGACATACTTTTGATATTAAATGGACTTAAATAAATGAAGTACAGATGTCTGCCTACAGAAATTGCAGCTATGAGGTAAGACTACTTAGAGGCAGGAACTCACCTGAAAAGATGCATACTAAAACCAAACACAACTCAGAAGTGCACAACTGCATTAAATATTTAGTTATTCAAGACAAGTCTATGTAATTTGACTAGTTTTTATCTGTATTTGAGCTGATATAGCTCAAGTGGGAGCCACCATTTCTTTGAATGTACTAAATATAGCTGAAAATGAATTTTCCAGAGGTGTTTTATGGTGCCTTTGCAAATGATGTTTTAATTCTACCTTGCATTCTCTTAAAATAAACCTCAATGCTATTTTTGATCTATTCTCATTCAAGTTTTGGTTATACCTTCTTGCTATAAACCCTTTTGGAAACCCTGACACTGAAGAATGTTGAAAACTGTAAGTGTGGGGATTGAATAACATGTCAATGTAGCCACTTAATAATTTAATATGCCAAATCGTATCCTAACACGTCACAGACTTTACACTGGTTCAAATTCCTCTATATTTACTGAGTTATCTTATTCTGAATCTGGTGTCTAGACTTCTCTACGTAAGAGATTTGTAAAGCTAATAGTGCTGCATTTTTATCTAGTGGCAAATAAGCTTCTAAACTCATTACTGTGTTGTATATGTAATGTATGTTGCAATTATGCTATCCTGTTCATGCACAAGGACAATCTAATCTCCTTGGTGTCCTTCAGCACATTTTAATTTTTGAACTTGTTTACACTTTTTGCCTTTGTAACAGGGTGTGCAAGTTTGTAGTATTTCACCTTGCAGGATAATTCGAGATCAAATAATACAAAACCGTTCTGAAAAACATGTCACTCATTCACCATCACCTCTCCATCAACGATACTGACAGACCTCTGCCAAATTATACCAACATTTCTTCTTACAAGTTCAAGATTCCCAGTATATTAATCCCCCCCTTGCATGGCAATTGCAGCAGGCCATCTCTTTTCTTTGCCTTCTCTGTATTCTTTTTTCTGAATACAATCTCTACCACATTACACACAGTTGAGAATAAGGATGTATGATGGATTGTACAATGATGTTCCCCATTTTACTCTGTTTCTTTCCTAGCCTTAACTCTCTAGTCTCTTTTTGTCATCACATACAGCAGAGGCTTGAATACAAATCCTTCTCAGTGTTTTCAAAAAAATGAGTTATATCAATGTGTTCATTTAATGTGAGAAATTCTCATTTTTTCAACTAAGTCTTTAAACTTCCAGCAGTTGCTGGAACACCATTTTTGTTCTTGTTCCGATTATCTATTTTTGTACTGTCTGCTTAGTCAGGATATTAAGCTGCTATTTGCTATTTTCTATTTAAATCTGATCAATTCCTGCATTTTTCTAGGATTCACTGCTTTACGATTTCAGCTCTTGTTCCCATTCCCATCTGAAGACAATTCCTTTCTTTCTTGTCATTTATATGGCATCTGTAATTCCTGTGCAGATCTCTCCCTATTCACATAATTTTCTCAGTGGTAAAATTACCCTATTTGCTTAACCTTTACAGTGGATTTGGACTATAGAAAATGTTCTTATAACTTTCCTTTTTCCAGCCTTCCTATTTCAGTATTCATAGATTCCTCTCCAGGTAATGCTTCTACTGCAGTCTCTGCCAGCCAGGGAGTGGACAGCAACACTGACTGGCTTGTGTCTGTACTGTAGTGCTTATGGCTCTCCCTTGCTTACAGTGGATGCAGAGGGGGACTACCTCCAGGGCAGGAAGCAGCCAAAGAATAAATTTTTCTTGTATGGAAAGAAAGAATTTTGCTTACCTGCCTGTTTTCTTCCCTTCTGCAGGCCAAGGGCCCTTTTTGAAGTAAGACCCTTTCACAGGATCACAGAACGGCCCGAGTTGGAAGGGACCTCAAGATCATGAATCTCCAACATCCCTGACACACACAGGGCCACCAACCTCCACATTCAATACTAGACCAGGCTGCCCAGGGCCCCATCCAACCTGGCCTTGAACACCTCCAGGGATGGGGCATCCAAAACCTATCTGGGCAGCCTGTTCCAACACCACTCTCTCTGTAAAGAGCTTACTTTCCTTCACTGTAATCTCCAGTCTAAAATGTTCCAAGTTGCTCCAGATCTTGATTTTCCATGCAGAGAAATCATTTTTTATGGCCTATACTAATTGCAGTCTCTTAAGCTGTCTTTACCACATCCATTGCCCAGTGAACTAAGTTTATCCTCCCGTTAGAGTCCTGCCTCTGCTGCAGTTTATTTGTATTCTTCCTCCTGCCATGCCTTTGTCTATTATTTTTCTCAGAATTTAAGACTGGGAAACACACAGCTCCTTCCCAAACTCTTTACTTTGTTCTGCTCAGCATGAGGGCAGTCCTGCTGATGCAGAAGACTCCCATGAGGATTTGTGTTTATACCTGTAACTAGCACTTAGCCATTTCTTTCTAAGTATCTTTGCTCCTAACATCTGCAAGAGTTCAAAAGCTCTGTGGAAATACCCTTGGCACCTGTACAGTTCCTTCCTCTGTCTAGCTTCATACTGCAAGCTTTGGAACCCATTAGGACTTATATTTTAAATGCATTTAAGTGGCGTAAGACCCCCCTCTGATGTTAAACATTCCCTACAATACTGAGTTGAGCTACAGAATATAAATGAATATCTTTTTTTTTTTTTCCAAGTTTAGAGAGAGATGATCTTTAAGGTCCCTTAATATATGATTGATTTGCTATCATTTAAAAACTTTAAAAGTATCTAATAGGTTAAAGCTATGCTATGGAACAAAGAAGGCAGAGTTGAGAAAGATAGAACAGGATTACTTTCTTGCTCTCTTCTATAACAATTATTCTGTCTTGGCCTAATCAGTCTTCAGTGCCTCTGTACTTTCTGAAAATCTCAAATGTATTATCAACTGGTTTTTAGAACCATGGAGAAGAACCCAGCTTGGGAGTGAAACTGGTAGGTACCTTGCAGGAGATTTGGGAAGCACTATGAAAGGTTCACGCACTTGAAGTACTGCTGCACACCTTAACCACATACTGCTGTTGTATCCATTTTGTTCCTCTTGGAGTGTGGTGATGTAGGAAGCTGGGGCAGATCAGAGGGTGCTCATCTTAATGGATGGATGGATGGCTTTAAACTAGGAGACAACTGAAATGAGGAGGCTTGATCAAAAAGCAAAGAAATGGAATTAGAAATGGAAGGAGAGCTGTTTAAAAATTGGAATTCAGGCATACCCCAGCAATACAGGGGACAATGAAGCACATGGGCTGTGCCCTATTTCCACGTGTGCTTTCAGCACCCAGAGGCAGCCCCACAGGCAATACCCTCAGAATGCAGGGATTTCTGGAACCTCAAACCTCCAGAGGTTAGGGAGTGACAGCTGGAGACATCAGCGAGGAAGACACTGCACTGCCAGAAGCAAGCAGAGTGAAACTGGCAGAGAAGGGAAGTTAACAAAAAGCTCGGAAAACTAAGCCTAAAGGAGTGCCTGGGGCTAGAAGGCAAGTAAAGAAGCTGGGGGAGGGGAAGGATTCAACAACAACAAAAAAAGAACAAAAAAAGGTAATTGGAAAATAAGTGAAAGCAGCTAGGCTTGTTATGCTAGGAGGAGGCAGCTAGCCAGCTGCAGAGGCGAGTGAGATCCCACTTATCTTACCATGTTGACTACAGAAACAGACTTCAAGTGACGCAGTGTCTATAAACAGAGGAGAAGAAGAATTAGTTCCCATTCGGGTAGTTGTGTCTGTGACCCTAAAATCCTTATCCCAAATGTGCATATCAGAATTCCAGTTCCTGAGGGCATGGACAGCGTTATCACTTAGCTGAGACATGGAGAAGCACTGATGCAAGCAGTACAAGCTTCTTATTACTGAGATTTGGCACTGATTATAAACATTGCCCAAAAATTGGTCATACCATTCCCCCTCAAAATATGAAGCATAAGAAGCAGAAATTAACTGCAGTGTAAACAGCTGAAATAAATTTTTTTTTGATCCAGACAAATTTGATTCAGAAGTAAAAAATGTCAGATCATACTGTTTCAATCAAATTGATGGAGCAGGACGGTTACTTTGATGCAGAATTCCACCTTGTTCACTTTTGTTAAGATGCATCAGAAAAGCCTTGTTCACATACTGATTTGCCTCTTCAAACAGCACTGCTGCTTTCTCCATAACATTTTCTCTTTCTGGTCTTTCTTCCTGCTGGCCTGAATAATTAGTTCTCTGGGGAGATCACATCTTTTCTTGCTTACTAGGATTGGTACAGGGAATATCTGAACTAATCCCATAGGCCCACTGATAATGCTCCTTTTGACTTACAGGAGATCTTTATGGACTATTATATGACCCTTACTGTAGACAAATACATGCTGGATGTGTTTCCTGAAACATTTACAAGCTCCAGTTAAATCCATTTATGTTTATTGCTCAGTAGAGCGGGTCTTCCACACTGTTATCTGTTTAGCAATCCTGTTTGATAAGTTTCTATGTAAAGAGCAGATAGAACACCAACGTGGATGTGAGCTTGTATTCCTGCCTGAGTGGCCATAACAGATGGTCTATAGTGGAACTTCAGTCACAAAAAACGTGAAGCGGAACAAATCTGAGTCACTGGTGCAAAATGTCTGTTTTGGAGGACTCCTGGCTGCTGTTCTGACTGCTTGGGTGCTAAAAAGGACTGGTGAAGAGCTGGCCATGGAAATTCCTATGTGGTTTTAAGAACAGTAAGGCAGTGTAGCTTTTAAAAGAATAAGCTTATCTTGTGCCTTTGACAGCAAGAGAAATACAGTGATTAAAAACTTTATTTCTTGTAGATCTTCAGAAAGGGGTGCAGATATTGCATGCATGACTATTTTCAGACCTACACACTTGCACATACAACTTCATTCCCTGTGAAATTTATCCAATGACATTTAATTTTTACTCCTGCAAATTGATATTATATATATATATTATATTTTATATATTTTATATTTTATATATTTATACATACACAATATATACAAAATATCCATATGTGCAAAATATCTGAAGTTTTTAAAATTTATTTTTCTCCATCACTGCCTGGAGTTTGTGCAATCATTTTTAAGCTATACAAAACCTAAACCAAAAAGAAAATAGGAGAAAGCCATGTAACAGCTCCTCCTAAATATTAGCAGTTTTACATTTGAATCTTATGCCGTGATCCTAAATCTCTTCACAGATGGAGATCTTCCAGACTGAAACAGAAAAAAGATGACAACCTGGAAAAAGATGGGAAAGCAACTCTGTAAACTCTGCTGGCCATGTGTTAAAGAAAAGGTAAGATCCTTCTTTATTCACGAAAAACCTTGCATTTTTCTTTAATTGTTACCATACAAGTATCAATATAATACACACGATTAAAGTGCTTTACACAGTCAGAATGGACAAAAACAGATGAAGCAGTTTTCAGAGAAACCGAACTATCTGAATGCATTCTTTACCCCATTGTGCAGCAACAGTGAAAAACTGATTCTACAGCTATTTCACAATGACAGAATGAAAAGTAGAAACCTGCAGGCAGGACAGCAAACTGGGGTAGTGGTCTTGAGTTTTATCTCTTCTACAACAGAGACTTCAATAAATAACCATATCAGACACTTCAGTTTTAGATTTTTAACACCGAACAATGATAGATTTAATTTAATAATGGGAAGACTTAAGCACAACCATTTAAAATGACATGCTCAACTTCATCTAAGAAGCCTGTCCAGCCATCACTCTCTGCAAGAACTTCCTTTTTACAGTTTGATATCAGTAGCCTTATGAGCTGCCCAATGCACTGTTTAGTCCAGAAGGAAACAAGTGCAGGGGGCAGTGAATAAATCAGAGTATTTCAGAATTAGGCTGATAAACAAAAAGTAACAGAATTAAGTACATATAAAAAAAGCAAAATATGTGCATCTGCAGGAATGGTTCCTCATTTATCAGAGCAATGGGAAGTTACCATTTTTGCAAAAGTTTACCTAACACTGATGTAGACAACAAACTGACTTAATTATTTGTTACAGACCACGGTTTGCATTTAGGTTATTTTAGCTAAGTTGCTTTAGGTGAACTTAAAGTTTTAATTGTGTATAAATAATTCTGTAACCATAACACAGGGAATACAGTTGACTTACAAAGATGACAAGTTTTACTATTTTCTTACTTAAAAGCATGTGGAATTTTGTTTTAAAAGATGTCTTGACTGCTTGATTGTCCATCTATCCAGCAATAAAAGAGAAGGGAAAGGATTAGGACAGTTGCAATAAATCATTCTTGAGTAGCATTACTGTCTACTTGAAGGAGAAATAACTGGTAGGTCAGGAGAAATGGATGATGGGGTAAAACAGGTCAGCAATACTGTGAATAGATCACTGTCTGAAAAGTCTTTGTATTGGCGTGTGTAAACTGGGATACAGTCTGTGATGGGCATGACATAGCAGATGCTGGTGGACTTGACTGTAGCGCTGTGTCCAGTCTTGGGTGCTGTGGTTCAGCAAAACGTGGATGGTTTTAAGAGAAAATGTGGGGGAAGTGGGGGGGAATATGCACTCATAGGACTAAATATGCATTCAGAGGACTAAAACTAGGGCTCATGGAGAAAGAAGAAGTGAAATCGTTTAGTCTGCAGATAGCAAAAATTAGGGGAGACATGGAAGAGGCACACTGAGAGATGCGAGGCAGAACTGTGTTTATTACAGCTATACCTCCATAGCAGAGAGCTTTTATTTACTGAGTTCCTGCTTCTCCTTGGGGCTGCAGTGAGGACTGGAACAGAGAACTCACCAGGCTGAAAGTCAGTGATTCTGAAAGTGCTTTCCCAACAGCTCCAATCACTCTCAGTTACATCCACCTGAGCCCTAACTCCTCTGTTACACCAACATCGCTGCCCACCTCTCTAGGGAGTGGGCAAGAAGCGGGTATGCTTTGCAGGATTGGTCATTTTCAAGGTTTGGGCACTCAGTGCCTGAACAAACAGGGGATGTAACTGCCTCAAACTGCCCTTCATGTGCATCAGGGGCCTTTGGCTACACCAACCCACCATTGCAGCCTCTAGAATTCATTTTTTTTTTTTCCAATCAGAAATACAAACACCATAGAGAACAGCATTTTTAAACACATCATCCACGTGAACACCACCGTTCTGATAGAAATCAAGCTTCCCAAGTAAATTTAAACAGCACTCCGACAGTTCTTGATGCTGCCCGCACCCAGCCATCCTGCTGGCTGCCACATCTACAGATACCCTTTAGGAAAGGTGACAGACAGAGAGCCGGCCTGGCTGGAGAGCCCTGAGGGCGGGAACCCGTGCGGGGCGCTCAGAGCGCGGCGGGCGCTGAGGGAGCGTCCCTGGGAGCGTCCTTCCGAGCGCCCCTCTGGACGCCGCGGTGGGGCCGTCCCGCCCGCAGCCCCGAGAAGGGTCTCGGAGCCCCGCGCAGGGCCCGGCGCGGCGTTTTACCTCAGGATTAGAGCGTTTCACCTCGGGAACGTTAGCCTTTACCTCAGGAATACGGGGCTTTACCTCACGGATTCCAGGGTTTTTACCTCAGCCGACGTGCCTCGCTCCCTGCCGGCCCGTGGACGGGCAGAAGGGCCGCCGGCCATAGCGCCGCGAGCCGCCGCCGCCCGCTCCTCCTCCGGCCGCGCTCCCCTTCCTTTCCCGGCTGTCCCGGCGGCAGCGGCGGGCGCCAATGAGGCGGCGCGTCCCGGCGGCGGCGCTCGGGTGGGCGGGAGCGGAGGGCGGGGGGCGGCGGCAGCACGCTCGGTTGTGAGTGAGGGAGGGAGCGCGTGTGTGTGCGTGCGTGTGTGCGAGCGAGTGCCATGGCCGGAGCCCGCTGAGAGCGACAATAGGAGCGAGCCGGAGCGCGACCCCGCCGCCCACCGGGACCCCGCCGCTCACCTGAGGCAGCCGCCGGCGGAAGAGGCCTGCCCTCCCTTCGCGGCGCCGCCCGGGCCGCCCGCACCGCGCCCGCCGCTCCCCCTCGCCTCGGCTCGGCTCCCCCCGCGTTTCCCCCCCCCTCCCTTCGCTCCCCCCTTCCCCTCCGCCGCCTCCTCGGGGCCCCTCCGCAGGGCTCCGCCGGGAATGTGAGTGAGGCAGCGGGCGTCGCAGGCAGGGGGCCGCGCCGAGTGCATGGGACTGAGCGCAGCCCGAGCAGCCGCCCGCTCCTGAAGCCGCCGCCAACGCCGCCCTGCGCCGGGGAGGCCGCCAACGCCGCCGAGGCCTACAGGCTGCTGCGCCGCCGCGGCGGGGACCGAGCCCGGCGCGTACCGCACTCCAGGCATCGGCCGCGCTCCGCCGAGCCCGGCTCAGGCCGCCGCCGCCGCCTCCCCCCCGTCTCCGGCTTCTCAACCGGGAGGGTCAAGGTAACTCCATCGCGGCGCGGGGAGGAGGAGGAAGAGGCCCGGGGGGAGGGGGGTGGCGGTGAGGGGGCCGCGGGAGGACGCGTTCCAGCTGCGGGGCTCCCGCCGGGAAATGACAGCCGATGGCAGCGGGCGGGAGGCGGCGGATGGCGGCGCGGCGGCCCCGGGCCCTCCCGGTGCGTTCCGTCGCTATTTTCACGTCCCCTCGCCTCGCCGCCCCCCCGCCCCGATCTGGGGTGCGTGGCTTCGCCTTCCTCCCGGCGCTGCATCCTGCGAGAATACGGCCCCTCCTTGGGAGAAACGGCGCTTAAGCTCCACGGCTTTCCTACACGCAATAAATAATCTCAGGTTGTTGGGTTTTTTTTTGTTTTTTTTTTTTCTTTTCCTCCCCTCCACCCCCAACCCCGCTGGAATCGCATGTTTCGCCCTTACAGCGCGTTCAGACGAGCTATCATCGGAGGGATGAAAAAAAAGGGATCGGTGTTTACCACGGGGTTGTCAGGCTGGATGCAGCCTTGTGGAATTAGAATGAGGCTTTAATAATTTATAACGCAGGTGAGGGAAACTGTTACTAAATTTACAGCGGAGAAGTGCCGGTGAGGCTCGGCGCTGACACCGTGATCCTGCAGCTGGGCCATCCGCTCTGCTCGCTGCCCGTTGTTATTAGCATTGTTATTATTTTGGTGATTTCATCTCGAGAGAGAGAGTGCAGGGATGGTTACACTTCAGCCACACACGTGACGGGCAGAGGAATCTTTTCGATGAGATGAAACAAGGCCAACGGCTCCGGCTTTTAGCTGTGTGTTTCTGCTGCTATTTTCCGTAATTTGGGTTTATGTAACAGGTAACTTTGTGCTTATATTTATTTTTGGCGGAGCTTTGGAACCTTAGAAGCGGGTGCCGGAGCGCAGGCCGTTCTATTTCAGTTTATCAGACTTTTTTATTTGTTAATCTCAGCTGGGGCCTGGATGCCCCGCTGATGGGGGCATTTCTTCCTCCCCAGATGGCAAACAAACCCTGTGTAAGGGATGGGATTGCGTTGCTGACACTGTATTATATTTGGAAAGTATAAGCTGGTGGTGGAGAGGACCTCAGGAAAAATGAAAAAGATGGTGTAAGGCTTTCTCGTGACGGCAGTGCCAGCTGCACAGCTCAGCATCTGGTGCTGCACATGCTGCCTTGGAGAAGCTGTGGAGTTTGTACTTCCATTTTTGAGAGACTTAGTGCACATATATAATATAATTTTGCATTAAATGGTTCTTATCTTCCTGAACTTGTTTACAGTTGCCTTAAATTGGACTTTCTAAAGCTTCTCTTGTGAAAGACGGATCCAAATAATAATGTCTGTTTCAATGGCTTTAATAATTGATGCAGCATATGAGTAACCAAATATTTTAATAAAATAAGTACTTGAAAGTGTTCTTGATCGTGTGGAATCAACTTCTTTTAGCCTGCGAGTCACTGTGGTAATTGAAGTCAACAGACATTGAGGATGAGTAATGCTTTCCAAGGACATGTTCTAAGACCCTGATCCTGCAAGTGCTTATGCCGACGCTTAACTTTGCATGAGTGTGTGGCCCTACTGAAACTGGCAGAGTGCTCTACCTAATCATGGCATCGCTAATACGAATCATAGAGGCGCACATGCTGGTAAAGTTAACTGTATGCAGAGCTGCTTGAAATATGTAGGCCGAAATTCCTCCTGTCTTGTTTTCCTGAAGTATTACTCATGTATTGCACCAAGATGCAATGTGCCTTTTTAACAGGCCAGACAGGCTGCTAAATACAATAGCTGGTTGGAGGAATTCACTCTTTAAAAGCTTTTGATATTTGTCAGTAGTATGGGATTAGCTACAGCAGCATTACCAGGGCATGTTTTATAGGAAGAGGCAATGCTTATTTCTCAGACCAGCTGATAGAGTTGGGAAACAAACAAACTTCTGCTCACAGAAACCTTTTTTGGCTCTCTGCCTCTCTGCAAACCTTGTCTGGCTTATGCCCTTAGAACTATTATGGCTACCATACTGCTATTATTGCTGAAATGCCAGAACATGGAATAACTGTGTGTTAAGAGACTCAGTACAAAAACAGAACGTCTGAAATGGAGAATAAAGAAGCAGTATGTGAAATTTTGTCAGTTTTAGTCAAATTGTGAAGCGTGGCACTACTTCTTGTGGTACTTTTTAGTGTTGCTGTTAAGTCTTGTATGTAGGTATGGTAAATGATTTTTTTTCTTCTGTCTTGTGCACTAGAGTGACTAAGATATTTATACCTTCTTGAGTTATCATATATATATATATACCATATATGCTCTTGAGATCATTTAGCTTGCATCATGCTTTCCAGCATGAGTTCAAGTTACTTTGCCTCACTTAATACGTAGTTCAAAGCTTCAATCCTTTGTCAAGGATTGTATGGAGTTCAGCTGACATAATGATGTCTTCATTAGGTCAGAATTTTTCCTGTTGCAGGGTTTTTGGTAAAAATGAGGCAGATTAAACAAGGGATAGAGAAGAACAATTGCACCATTCCTATAACTTACTCCATAAGACCTGCATATGTGTTGGTGGGCTCTCTCTCCAAACGCTCTGTCTGGATAAGTTGTCAGAAGGAGAACAGCGAAGACAGAGCAAGGGGGCTGGAAAATGTCAGTTAATCTCTACCTGTTTCATAAATTTTGGAATGTATTTGTAATTCTTGTTTTCCTTCAGTAGGGATATGTCCTCAGCACCAACTACTCCTCCATCAGTGGATAAAGTAGACGGATTTTCTCGGAAGTCCGTCAGAAAAGCCAGACAGAAGAGGTCACAAAGCTCCTCCCAGTTTAGGTCTCAGGGCAAGCCTATTGAGTTAACTCCTCTGCCTCTGCTGAAAGGTAAGCTCAAGAATGATTTTTAATTAAAAATACCCGAAAAACCTAATAACCGTAAACCTAAACAGTTATATTCTATGGTTGAACTTCTAAACTCAAAGTGTTCTGTTGCCAGAAATTGCATGGAAATTTTGCCAGTAATGAGGTATGTTTCATGCCAGAAATGTATGTATTTAAGCTTTACAGAATATTTTATCTGTGACTTGAGGGTGTGGTAATTGTTTGCAATACTTCTGGAAGTCTTAAATGCTAATGTTAACTCGTATGATGACTTGAATTTCCACGGCACCCAGGCTGTGTGTGTTTTAGTTTGTGAAAGTTCAGCAGATACACAAACTGAGCAATAGTTATGGTGAGGCCAAGCTGCCTTGTGAGCATGGGGAAACTTGTATGCAGCTCTTGGCTTCTGCTGGGTTTTGGAACTGAAAGGTGCCGTGCACTGCAGCATCTCAAGAGGAAGATCAGGTCTTAGGCAAGACACAACTGTGAGGACAGCCTATGTATCCCTGCTCCAGTTGGGTTGCTGCGGGAAAATTTAACTTCTAATTTGGGAAAGGAAATGATGATCCAGCTTACAGCTCTTAAAAGGCTGACAGTATCTCTCTAATATCTCGAATGCTTCCTCTAAATCCTGTTTGGCACTGAATTTCAGTACAAATCCAGGGGCCAGCAGCTTCTCTCAGAATTACGTTTGATACGGCAGAAGGAATCACCTTCTAGAAACGTTTCCTTTCACTGAATTCTTACTCAGTTTTGGGAATTTTTTTCTTTGCCATTCTTCTTTTCTGTTACAAGGAATGGAGCTAAGCAGAATTTGTGCTGATTATTCTGGAAAATAGAAAGATGAATAGGTTTAATATTAGGTCTGTTCATTTTTGCTTTGTGGGCATGTAGATTTCCCAGATCTCTTCCTCTACCCATTTGATAAATTTGGTAATCAGTACTGAAATATGTAATGAATGTGTAATTGCACTTTGGTTTGGTTTGTAACCTTGCTTCTTCATAAGAACAGACAAGTTGCAAAAATTATATATATATATATCAGTTAGCTTATGTGTATCTCTTAAATTAAATTAAACTTGGATTGTAGGATTTGTTCTGCAGGAGCTGTCATTAAAATAGTTGAGACTTCTTTCTGTGGAATGCATGCAAGGATGTACAAATAAACATACTTGCTCAAAAGAAAGGTCCAAAAGAACCATCTAACCCCTCTGTATTAAGCTGTCAAGGATTGATTTGGAAGTAGAGGAGACTGGAAGAGCAGGGTGGGCCTGGTGGAAGTAGTGCTTCCACTACTCACCATTTTTCAGTGTGTCTGCCAGTGGCACTGGATTTGGTGTTCTGGTCTGTAGTGAATTTTCTTTTATGAACTTTTCTAGATGTTCGGTGAAAATAAGATAAAGAAGCAAATGTTCATTTAAAGTCATTTAAAACCCCATTTGGCTATTTTTGCAGGTCATTTTTAGATGCAGGTAATTTCCCTTAAAAATACAACTTAGTGCATTTCAGTAAATAGAGTTTGTCCTTTGGCTTAAGTGGCTACATTACTGAAAAAAGATTTCGATTTGTATTTGAATAAATGTTTAAATTATTTGGTTATATTGTATAGTCCTGTTCAGGGAACGCTGTAGGTGTGTGCACAGACATAAGAAAAGGTGGCTTTGGTTGAGGACATGGTCTTGTAGAAACACAGGTGTGTGCAGGTGCTTATTTTGATTGCTGTAGCCAGTCCTGCGGATTGAGATATAAAGCTGTAATAAGATAAAACAGATGGGGCACAGAGAGCGTTACTGAGATATTTATGATTAGTGTCATAATGAGTTACAGTGGTCCAGCTTCAAATTAAGAATCTGATCCGGTGAGTTGGTTTTCCGCCTTTGACTTAATGCAGATTCCTGTTGGCACAGGGCTCTGTACAGATCATTTTGCAGGATTTGGGCCTAAGGATGCATCTGAAACAGCAGTGGTATTGGTCCCTGCTGAAGGGACACCAACAGTTAAAAATTGTGATACTATTTAGAATTATTCTTGATCTACATTGACTACTGTAACAATTAGGATTATTTAACCTGAAAAAAGTGATATTTCATCTGCATTTTTCACGCTTTTCCTGGACAATTGTCTGAAAGTCCTAATCTTTAAACTTTTGGGCTTGCACTTACCCTCCAACAAGTAACTAGTCCTATTGCTTTATTCGGTAACCACATGACTTCCTGTTTTATTCTTGTTATTTTGATCTTTAAAGTTAGAAAAAAAAAAGATTTTTTAGCAAAATAGCTTTTTTTAAAGACACTGAATAATGAGATCAGCTTGGAGATCTCCAGTTGCTAAGTATACTCCTTGTTTTGGGTAAGTTTCAAGTTTCATTAAACCTGTTTAAAAATATTTCAGTACAGGAAATTTTTAGAGGACAGACCTTGAATTTGACCTTAAACATTTTATATTTGTGATGGAAGAGTTTTGCAGACTAAGCCACACATGTTGTGCTCTTCTCTCCTCTTCTCCTATTCTCTCCTGCTCCCCTCGAACTATTTCTCATATTGATAGTTACACCCTATATTTTCTCTCAGAGAAGCACCTGCGTGGACTTCAGTATCTTCTTTCATTACAAGAATAAAGTATGCAGCAAACTAGATAAATGCTTTGTCCGTTCTTTGCAAGTTTTTGTGCTGTGCCTGTCACCATAATGATTTGAGCACCTTCCAGTTGTGTATTAAGTGACATGACTACGCATCTGTCACATCTTATCTGCTCTCATTCCTTTCCCCAGGGGCAGAGTCATATACAGCGAAATGGCTTGTTTTGGTAGTGTTTTAATGCAGTCTGTTCCTTTCTGTGGATGTATGTGCCTGTACTGCAAGAACAGATAAGTTGGAGCTGTTGTTTATTTGATAATAATAATGTTTCAGGAAACAGAAATAGGAGACAGAATGTGTTTCAGTGTTATGTACAAGGCTGAATGGTAACTTGCCATTTAGGAAATGTAGTGAGAAGGACTGGAGTTTTCAGTGGTGCTTATTCTACGTAAAGCATAGGGGAGTGAGGTTGTTGCTGTGTGTTCTATTTCATTTTTTAATTAACATAATTGTGTGCATTGTTTAGCTCGTTGTGAACAAACATTTCATGTATTTATGAGATGCAGGAGCCTTCTGAGGCCCTATTGGGCTGAATTAAGACTCTCAAATGCCCCAAGCCAAAAAAAACCTCCTCAAGCAGTCAAGACTTTTGTGTCCTCTGTTCTTCTACAGTCAAGACTTTTCTGATAATTTGTTATTATTTACTGCGCTCTGACTAAATGGGAGGTTTAGGTTAGATGTTAGGAGGAAGTTTTTCATACAGAGGGTGGTGAGGCACTGGAACAGGTTGCCCAAGGAGGTTGTGGATGCCCCATCCCTGTAGGCATTCAAGGCCAGGCTGGATGTGGCTCTGGGGAGCCTGGTCTGCTGGTTGGCGACCCTGCACAGAGCAGGGGGAGTTGTAACTAGATGATCCCTGTGGTCCTTTTCAACCCAGGCCATTCTATGATTCTGTGATAATTTGGGTTGTTTTATAATACAACTAATGTTGAATCTAATGTTTCAAAAGCAGTCTGTCTTCCTTTGTTTCATGTGGAATGGTACAAGAATTGCAAACAGGAGCTGTGGTACAGTTGGCCTGTGTTTTCAATATATGTACTCGTAAAAAGGTTTAAATCTCACGCGCACTGAGGTCCCTGCATGCTCTTGTCTGGTGTGTCCTGCCCTGTGTTCCTGGGCTTTACATTTTGCCTTAATTTTTAAAGAGGCTCTTCACAGAATCACAGAATGGCCAGGGTTGGAAGGGACCTCAAGGATCATGAATCTCCAACCTCCCTGCCACATGCAGGGCCACCAACCTCCCCATTTAATACTAGACCAGGCTGCCCAGGGACCCATCCAATCTGGCCTTGAACACCTCCAGGGACGGGGCATCCACAGCCTCTCTGGGCAGCTGTTCCAGCACATCACCACTCTCATAGTAAAGAACTTCCCCCTGACATCCAACCTAAATCTCCCCTCCCTCAACTTAAAACCATTTTCCCTTGTCCTGCAGTTATCTACCTTTTCAGAGAGTTGATTCCCCTCCTTTTTGTAGGCTCCCTTTAGGTACTGAAAGACTGCAATGAGGAAATGAGGCTCTTGGTATCAGCAGGGTTGGCAGGTCCCTGAGGTGACTGGTTTGTGGCAGGCCTGGAGAGGGGCCCTTATCTTGGAATGACAACATCCACCTCTGTGCCTTAGGCACACCCACACAGAGTTTGTTAACCAAGTTTGTGGTATGCCTCAAAGCACGCTTCTGTAGCGGAAGGTGGTGGTGTATGTTGTATGTGCATTGGAAAGGGGTGGTACTTATCAAAGGTTCTTTTACTTTCATTTTCTGTAGATACTCTTAACTTACAAGACTTTGGAGGAAGGTAGGTAGGGATACAATACTGGTAGGAAAAAAAAAAAAATCCTGTCTTGTAATACTGAGCACATGAAAACAGACCAATCTCATTATTACCTGTAAAAGCAGAGAAAGTCCGTTCCTGTTTTTGGCAGTATCTGTCATGTTAGGAGAGTGTCCAGGAGATGAAGACATGCACACAGCAGACTGCAAAGATCATATGGCTTGCAAATAAATGTTGAACAGAACTGGGCAGAAAACAAGCATGTGATTCACAGTATTCTTCTCATCCTCCTATTCTCATTAAAAATGCATAATAAGGTAAAGCAAACCATATGAAAGAAAGGCTGTTAAATATTAAAGCAATGTATTCCATTTTTATCATTTCAAGGGGCACCTCTTATTTCCTGCCATTCTCCCACGTTTTCCAGTATTCCAATGCAGTATAGTTACTTTCAGGTTTATTTTTGTTGAAAACAGGCCTCAGCTCAAACTATAATTTTTATTTTAGGCAATTTTTCTTTCTTAAAAGAGGTGCTCAGAGCAGAGGTTCTCTGTCAACAATACCAATTGCTTCGCTACCTCAATATTATGAAATT